ACTAATCTGTGTGGTACTGGTGATGTGGTTCCGGAAGATGTTCCGCCAATGTAATTTATTAAATAAAACGTGCATAAAATAAAACGTTCATCGATAATGCGTGGCTTCACAGTTTTTGACCAGGCTGATTTGACTAGCGCATATTTAATGACCGAGAAAAGCACTGGACTCCCGCTACTTATATGCCTCTCCACTTCCGCATTAAGTGAGCGAAAAGCGAGTACAGTTTAATCTCAATCACCAGGCGCGTTTTCCAGCAAGCGTGTGCACTAAAAAAAAATAATAAACCGAAGGTGAATGAAACACGCTAGAGGGAAGCGTTTAATACAAATTACGGAGGAAGCGTTCGCATTAGGGAAATCGCGGAAGGCCAGGGCAAAATAATTCAATGAAAGAGCGAGCGGAAGAGATACTATAAATAGGCAGCGGCACGTGGAGTGGTCGCCGGGTGCGGCTCTCGGCAGCGCCCGCGTCGCCTTTGTGCCTCCAGTTCGAAAAAGAACGGTTGCCTCACTACTTCAGGTCAGAGACGACATCGATACACGTCGAGAAAAAAAGTCAATAAGAAAGGAACAATACAAAAAAAGCTATAGAAACCAGTGGGAAAACGTTGAGGCGGCGAGACGAAGGCGCGTGGGAGTGCGCCTGTCTTGCGCGCTTCTGATGGCGCAGGCTTGATGAAAGAGGACTTTACAAAGAGACATTATCATTTGGCCGCTGTCGGGGACCGAGAGTCGCCGCTTTTAAGTGCCTTGATCTCTTTTAAATGAGCCCACCGTGCAGCCGCCGCCTCCGAGCGTGAATGTACCGAAGCTGGAGTTGTGGATCTCGTGCCCGCTCCCGGTTGCCCCGGGAAACGAAGAGGGTGAAAAGAAGAGGTGGAGAGAAACGAGGAAAGGGTAATGTCAACCGAGAGGCCTACTTCTGCGAAGCAGCGAATTGTAATGAAGCTCGCTGGAAGGCCAGAAAGCTGCCATGCTTCGGGATATGGTGGAGCCGCAGTGGCAAAAGTTGGGGAATGAGAAGCCAAAACGCTCTTCCGGCGCGATAACGAAGCTCTTCTTTTCGTCGTTATGCGACGTGCTGCTCGCAAAGTTACTAAGTTTAGGAACGGCCATAACAAACTCTGCAGTCTCAACTTCTTTGGTTGAGGCATTTTTTAGGCTTTGCGGTGAACTGCAGTAGGTTTAACTGAACGCGACTCCCCGATGCCATATAAATGGCATTGTTTTTTGCCGTGAACTCTCATCGCTTGTCCCAATACATACTTGGAGCAAAACTCGCTTTAGATGCGAAAAGTCGCTTTAGATGCGAAAAAAACTTGACTGATGACGAGGACAATATAAACGGCCTTGATTTATTCGGTGGGCTGTGCTGTCGTCAGGAAAGACAAGGAGAAGCTTCCGTTTTTGTGTTTTTAAATTAGGTGATAAGATCTAGTGAATGTTAGGGCAAGGCATAAGGTAGGACGCCATATCCAAACATTTTCTCAACAATGATTGCCTCAGTATTCACAAGCAAGAAATGAAAACTTTTAAGGGGCCTATAAGAGATCGTTTATTTCGGTACGCCACTTGACTGCCTTACTAAATGTGCTTTATGAGTATTTGGTTTGTACAAAAAAAAAAGCTTACATAAAATCTCACCGGAATAGAAAATGTTAGCGTATTACAAAGATGAACGTGCTGTGAACCAATGTAAGCGAAAGAAAAATAGGAAAGTCAGACATCCGTCCAATTCGCTACGCGACACAGCAGGGGATCTTTAAAAAAGAAAGGTACCATGAGGGGCACATAAACTACCGAACGAAAAACAAAACGGTAATCAAGGAGAAATAAAGCGAACCTTAGCGAATTTGGCCTCCGAGTTAAGTGCTTGTGCTAACTTATTAGACCCCGTAACCACGCGTATTACTGAGGTACATTGAACACAGATTCGCAGCTTAGACACACGTATTTGCGGTCATTGTCTTCTGCGCCATGGCTGTAACGATGGCCAAGGCTTATAGCGCGCCCTGGTCTCACAATCATTCCTCGAATCGGCTGTGAAGCACAGTTTGTATGGTTATCTGACGTATGAACTATATCTCCTCTCCTCGAAGAGGCCTTGCGTGATGAAAAGTAAAATTATAAGAAGGTGACAAAGAAAATAGCGACTACCCGAACATCTTCAGCGAATCAATTTCGCTACGATGTTGCGCATTGACACGTGAAAAAAAGTATAAAGTGACGTAAACAGTACAGTAAAAAAAAAACGATGGCAAAAGGAAAGCTACGTATTGCTTATTAAATTAGAATGGAAGCAAAATGCCTAAAAAGTAAGAAAATGAATGAAAAAGAAAGAAAACAGCATCTTGGAAATTGGGTTTGTAAAGACGAACGCACTCGTATTTATTGTGAGCCCACAGGATGGCTTCCTTTCTGCCTGGTGCCTTCTGAGCACGTGGCATTTTTTTGTGTGAATTGGAGTGAAAAGATCGCGGAGGCATTTTCCCGTGACGGGGAAAAATGCGAGCACATTTCGACACCACCGATGCCCATTCATGCTTCGGTGTCATGCTGTATACGATTATAGAGGGTAACGTGACTGAATTCTGCCGACAAGACACGCGAGTTCTGCATAGGCGACAGCGAACACACGCAGCATATATCGCGAGCTAGCAACGATTTTTGAGTAACTGCTGTACATTTGATCCTACATTCAATATTGCAGTTCCTGCGTTTGCCTCGCCGTTATAACTACTTCAATGACACACCACGCATTCACATCTCTATTCCATTCAGCAGGAAGTGCGCTTCCCTTATATCTTGTAGTACTGCGCGGCTCCAGATGTAGCTTTGTCTGGTAGGTAATACGGGAGGTGGCTTTCCGAGGCTTAGTGTGGAATAAGTCCACTGAAGACGTCGCAATGGCAGCAGAGCAAGCATTTTACACAGGCTATTGTGTATCTTATTCCACACGAACCACACAATTGCCCCTGTTAATTGACTGTTTTTCTGGCATGTGGACCACAACCCATACATTATATAGGGTTGCGGATAAGTCAAGCTGCTTCTAGGCTGCCTTTTCCTCAGTGTCCTACATGTCTATCAACATGGCGGAAAGAAATATTTGATCTTTTTTGAAAACGTACAAAAAAACAGTGACAAAAAAAACTTTTTTACTTCGCCTAATTTCATTTTCCCTACGACACAGCCCGCTCTCTCTTCACTTCATTTAATAATCTTTCTGAGCCAATGTAGCAATATTAACCAGAAGAAATGTCTCAGTGTCCGAACGTTATCATATATCTGTAGTTGGCAATGCATGTAGCGTGTATTCCGCGACGTATGTTGTTCCAAGCTCTACAAATATAACAATAAATTTTTGTAACTGTCAGAGCTAAGCTGCATAGAAAACGAATGACTTCAGGCGTATGCGCACTACAGCGTGTGCACATCCGTAAAACAATTGCCATCTGTCCCATCAAACTGAAGGTACGCTAGAGCGTACAATGTCAGAAGCCCCCTCCGGCTGCATGCAAGGGAAAATGAAGTTCAATACGGATCACGAAGCACGCGTAGACCTTCTACAGTTCTATCGCACAAGCATCCGCCCTTCGAGTTCAGGCGTTTCTCTTTCGAGCGTAGTGTTTGTCAGAACAGAAAAACTTGGGCTTTGCGAAACGCAGATCCGCGAGAAAAAGATACGTTGCGCAACTTTTGTCGAACGTCGCACGCACGATTCACATGAAAAAAAAAAGTGAAATAATGCTTCTCTATTGGCGTGGTGAATGTAAGGCTGTATTTTGAAAACTTCGATGGCAGATATGACGATACAGAAATCGGTGGCTCCAAAAAGCCAGACATGTACAGAGGCGCGCGGAATTGCAAGATAAAAACGTCGCGAGGGACAAAATAAATAACCGATTGAGCAAGGGACGTACAGAGGCACCTCTGCAGAGGACTGCAGGGCACCGAAGGCGACGCTAAACATTCCAGACATGCAGTACGGACGATGGAAGCTGCAGAAAGGCACGCAGCTTTACTCGGCTTTACGGACGATATTTCGCGGCTCTTCATGGGGATTGAGTTCCTTCCGTCCGGACTTTTTTCTCGTCCACTCAACTAAATCCTGTTTACAGGGTGGATCCTGAACGAAAGCGTTGAGCCCCTCGAAAAAAAAATGTAATAAGCTCACACCAAAGAAAAATAATACAGTCGGAAGAGGCCGTGCAACAAAGTAGTATTACCTGTTCGAAGCCTCCAAATTCCTCCGGCACGCTGGACACGCTCATGCTTTTTGATGGTGCCCTCTCAAGAAAAGTCGCCCACTTTGGCCTGTCGCCCATCAGACTTGACGCAAAACCCTGCATCTGTTGTCCCGCTGCAGCCGTGGCCGGAAATGCAATTTCTAAACTTGGACTTCCGCAGACTGACAAGCAGCTTGTGACGCGTCAGCGTTGCCGCAGATAAATAAAAGAAGGTGCATGAGATAAGCGCCGTGCGCAACGTTCTTGCGTGCTTCTTTTTTTGCAGTCATATCACTTGCTATATTTGATTTTGTGCATTGCACCTGAAGCTCGCGTTTTCCCAGACCACACTTATCTTTTGTATATAAGGTACACTCTTAATAATCAGTAAACTAGTCGCGTGCGATGACGTTTCACTGTGTTCCGCTTTAACGCTGCTGATATAAGCGTTATTTAGGTGAAGCGTAAGTTCTAGTCTGTAATGCATTTCAAATAGACGCTGCTTATCATAGGATAACTTCTGCCCGCGTTACCTCTGCAGCCTCCGTTTTTCGAGAAGAGCACGCGCATCTAAACTGCTTCTAGAACTATGTGTAGCTGATGCTTCAAACAGACCAGCTTCATTTGCGTGCGTTTGGCCCTTCTTCTTCAGCATCCCCGTCATGCTTGCATGAATTCTGAATCTTTATCTTGCGATGGAATCCCACGCACACGATTTGTCTAGATTGCGACGCGTGCTGCGCAGTCCATGGCGGTGCGCGCGGCGCACCTGCGCCGTCTTGGGAGCCAACCCGCCTTGTGCCTTGGGACTGGTCTTCGGGCTGGAAGCTGGACATGGCTCTCGCTCTGGCTGATAGGTGCTGCACCAGATCATGGACTTCGCTGTGATGTCCCGCGATCATAGTAGGTTGCGCTGACCGATCCATACAAGCAATCTCGAAAATACGTTGTACTCTTATTTAAGGCCTCCACCTGTCCTGCGCTGTTTACGTACAGGCGGACGCAACTAGCCTAATCTCGAAAACTGACAAGTACTCACTATGTGGTGTAATTTCAATTCTAAAGAACACACCAAAACGAAACATCGTTTTTTTTAAGACGTGCAGTTCAGTGACACCAACTCTCTACCCAATAAAAAATATATCGTTCTTGCGTTTTGCGAATATAGAGCCTTCAAATAACTTTCTTACTTCTTTGAAGGCGCGTAATCTCATACGAACCAATGAAATAAATTGGTGTTTTTGTATCTTTTTCCCGGCCAGAAAACTTAGCAACGAACTAATTAAGCCGGCCTATATACGTCGAAATATCGCAGAGGGCATTAAAAAGGCATCGGACGGTCCATACAGTTAGAGCTCATTCTTTAGTACAATTATGTGTCTTTCTGATTTGCAACCTTTTGTCGATTTCTTTCTCTTCTTCTTTTACTTCTTGTGTACGGCAACTACTTAGTCACTATAGGGCTTCGCCATGCTGAGATCGCGGTAACGCGCTAAATCTTTCCAAGGGCAACAGGATTTCAATGACAGCGGAATGCGGAACGAGTGGAGACGTTGCAAGAACTAGCAAGATTTCTGCTAGTTTCAGTCCAAAAAAATTTAAATGGATACGAACAAAACCCGAACAAACTAAAATGACGTCAGCAAACATATAGAACGAGCCGCGTTCAAGCTAAAGTTGTATACTCACGTGAACGGCCAAGCTTTTGTACAGTTGCTCTCATTATTCAAGAGGATCATTATAGCGCAGCCAGATGATTATTTTGGAGGAAGTGGGGGAGTGTTTTCACCTATATTTTATGTATACTGTTGCGTACCTTTCTGTGTGTGTACAAATATGTAGATACATACGAAATTGTAAAATATCGGAAGAAAGGGGAGGGTGTTAATCCTCAAGACCCTCCTCTGTCTGCGCCAATGAGGAGAGTGTGTATGTGACGGTGTATGTTTGTTGAGAGAGAGAGAGAGAGAAAAATAATTAAAAGGAAGAGACAGGGAGGTTAACCTAGACGAACTGGTTTGCTACCCTGTACGGGGGGGGGAAAGGGTCGGAAAGAGGACAGCTATAGAGAGATATAAAATAAATTAGAAAAAAAAAACACATGCACACACATTCAGGGAGTTCCAATCACAGACGTTTGGACAGGCCGGTTAAACGCAAGAAGCGCATGAGCGCCTTCACAGCCTTCTTCTGCGACATCAAGTCCTGTCGGCAGCGCAGGAATCTTTCCTCCGAAAGAGGCTGGTTGTCCAGTTCATCTAGTGCATTTTAGAGTGACTGTCTCTGCGAGCAGTATTGTGGGCATTCACACAGAATGAGCCAAGTTGTTTCATCACTGCCACAATGGTCGCAGGCAGCAGTGTCAGCCATTCCTATACGGAATGCGTACGCATTGGTAAATGCGACACCCAACCATAATCTGCACAGCATAGTAGCGTCTCGTCGGCGTAATTCCGGAGGAATTCGAAGACTGAGAGTTGGGTCTAAAGTACCTAACCGTGCATTAAAGAAATGTGGCTCGTTCCATTGTGACGTGGTGTGCTTGTGAGCAAGCATGCGGAGTTTCCGTGCAGCGTCAGTTCTGGAAAGCGGAATTGATATTTCATCGCTTTCAGTATGGGCAGAACGGGCAGCTCGATCGGCCCGTTCATTGCCAATTATTCCACAATGACTTGGCAGCCATTGAAAGGCTATTTCATGTCCTTCCTCAATGAGTTGGTGAGTCTTTTCTGCAATCTCAAATACCAGCTGTTCGTACGCGCCGTGGCGTAAAGGGGATAGAAGGGATTGCAGTGCAGCCTTTGAGTCACTGAAAATTGTCCATTTTTGTGGCTGTTGATCGCTAATGAATTGCAATGCGGCACGAAGAGCTGTGAGCTCTGCTCCCGCTGATGTCGTAAGGTGGGAGGTCTTGAATTTTTTTGTCGTGTTTTTTCTTGGTATAACGAATGATGCCGCTGAACTCTTCTGTAAAACAGAGCCGTCGGGGTATACGTGTATACAGCCTTGATACGTCTCGTATAACAAGAGCAGAGCAAGCTGTCGTTGCAAGCTGTCTAAGAGCAGGTGACGACATATCTGCTTTTTTCTTGATGCCAGGTATAGTTAGCCTGATATTAGTCTGAGTCAGGCACCAGGGAGGAGTCAAAGGCCTGGCGGCGGGTGTGAAGCATGTTGGCAAACAATCGCGGTATGTGGTGACCGTTTGGCAAAATGACGAACGTGGTCTGTCTGCTGGTAGAGAGGCTAGGTGGTGGCAGGGTGTCCAAGCAATATGCCTTATATGTGTCCGGAGTGCCTCAACGTCGATATGTGTTGTGATGAGGTGGTCACCGGCGATAGCTATAGTAGCCATTGTTGACGCACTACGAGGCAAGCCGAGGCAAATCCGGAGTGCCTGGGACTGAACACTCTGTAGCGTTCGAAGGCTTGTTTTGCTTGCATTGGTCAATGCCGGTAAACTATACCGCAGGAAACCGAGAAAAAGTACTCTGTACAGCTGTAGCATTGCACTGGGAGACATTCCCCAAGTCTTCCCTGCAAAGAACTTCCGTATATTACAGATGTCCATTAACCGTTTCTTCATGTACGAAACGTGATCGCTCCATGATAGATTCCTGTCAATTATGACGCCCAAAAACTTGTGCGATCGAACGTATGGTACAGTTTGATTATTGATGCTTATAGTGTACTTATCCATAGGCTTTCTTGTAAAAGCTACGAGGGCGCATTTTTCGGAAGAAATTTCCAAGCCTTGATTTCGGAGGTAGTGTAATGTTTCAGCGGCAGCTTTTTGAATTCTTCCTCGTAACTGCAGGCGTGTTAGAGCCGATGCCCAAATGCAGATGTCATCTGCGTACATTGATAGCCTGACTGTGCTTGGCAGATGCTCAGTGAGAGCAATTAACGTAAGATTGAACAGCACAGGGCTGAGTACGTTTGTTGAAGTGAACGCATTTTGTGTAGCGCTTCTTATTGCACATCATTATTAAGAAAAAAACAACAGCCGTTAACCACTGCATTTGTACGCGTGAGCTGATCCACAAAGTGAATGCTGGTGATGGAGTGAAGTCAGGTGCTAAGGTACACGATATGTACACTGCGAATTTTTATGAAAGGGGACACGCGAACACGTGACTGGTGCGCTCCGACGGCTACTTGTAGCGCGTTTAAGCTGGAGCGAAAGCAACTGCAGCTGCTACCGTCATCTAGAGGCGAGAAAAACAACCGGTAATTTGTGATCTGAAACCGCGGTAATATCACCGCCCCCTTCAAGGCGATTACGCCCTGCCTCTTACGTAATCGCCTTGAAGGGTAAGCGGTTGCCCTCTTGCCGCTGGTTCCATATCACTATAATGACCAGTTGTTTTGCTCGCCACTAGATGACGAGAATAGAGGCTGTGGTTGCTATCGCTCCCGCTTGATGCGCTTTAAGTAGCAGCCCGAGTGCGCCTATCTCGCGTGTTCTCTTTCATAAAAATTTACACTGTACGTTGAGGTCACCGATTAGTGCAAAGGGCGAACAGATTGCCGGAAAGATGGACGGACAGATGCAAGAATGGCCTGGCGGACAAATGGACGGACGGATTACGGTCTGTCAGCGCTTACGGTTAAAACATATGCGTGGACAGTGCTATGAACGCTTTATATACAATGTATGTAACGCCTGTGTTTCGGTCAGACGGGAAGCTATATATACGACAACGACGGCGTCAATGGACATCGTGCGGGCCTAAGGAGCTTTTCTCTTAAAAAGGTCGAAGACGGCAGAGAGAATAATTAGATAAAAAGGCTCGTTAACATGTATAATAAAGAATACGTCTAGAGGTGATACAGGGATGAGTGGTTTTCACTAGTGCATACAAAATATAGTCCGAGCATGAGGGGCTCGGTCATAAATTGTAGTCAGTGCTCAGCTCGGACATTTTTTCTCAGATGTAGTTAGGGTTACCAGCGCTCAACACAGACCTTTTCTTAGAACCTGAACTCCAAGCCTTTTACACATGCGACAAAAATCACGTTTAGCAAAGTACTCTCATTTTTTTTTGTAATGGTGTCTTCATTGCGCAGAAAGATCGACGTAGCTTTTAGCTGGTGCACTTATTAGGCCTTGTGACATTATTTGAAACGGCTAGTTTAAGTAGCACTACGAACTGCTTCAGTTGTGTAAGCACTAGAAGTGGATTGGCGTGTAAAGAGTTTTTCAATAATCCTCTGCCATTCCTTTTAATAGTTAGGGCTGTTTTGCTCCCTCACACTCGTATTATAGCTGGAGCCTCTGTTCCGTAAACACTGTATTTACTTTTTTTTGCAGACCACCCGAGCAGATTAAGACACAATGTTTATTCCCGCTTTCTCTAACGATGCTAAGGCTTTAATTTTTTTTGTATTCGTATAGAAAGAGGAGCCGAACACTTTTTAAGCTCCTTCCTTATGCATACTCGTTGTAATCCTCTGAGCATTTGTTTGAACAATGGATTTGCAGTGTTGTTCTACGAGGGCACCCAAAGCTAGTGTTCCAAGTAAGTGCTGAAAGGGCTGTGGAATTGGTGCCACAAATCGCATTACTCTCACCGAAGCAATATTTGCAAGGGGATAACGTGAATTCCCCCGAATAACGAAATAAATGGCGGCGAGAAAAGCAAAGGTTTTGCTTTTGAAAGCTCACACAACGCCTCGTGGTGTAAAATATTCCAGTGGTTGCCGTCTTAAGGTTAGGGTTTTTTTTTTTCCCGTGCCTCATTTTTCTTACATTTCCTTTTCCTCTACATTTCTAAGCAAAAGACCATGGAGTTAGAATGATTAGTATTTAGAACCGTAAGACAAGCTTGTTTAC